GTGTAAATTAGTTAGGATTAGCTCTAAAGTGTAGGCTTCAGACAGGGTAGAAGCTAAATTTTCTGTTGCAAAACATCTCCACCTAGTATAGAACTTGGTGAGCTCAAACGAAAGTTTTGAGCAATACTAATATGACGGCAGGCTTCTTTACAAGTTGAAATCGTTATAAATTATATGGAACTTTATTTAGCGTATTCACTGTAAATAAAATGAGACCAAATCGAAGCCTGACATGATAGTACACTCTTGTAATCCTACTAGAAAAGTAAGACAGGAGGGTCACATCATGTTGTAGGAGGAGCAACAGCAAACTGCGTTCCCGCCCAGATCCCAGCTAGCTTACCCCCGAAATAATTATATGGAAGCTGTATTCTTTTAAACACTGCCTGGCCCATTATCTCTAGCTTCTTATTGGCTAACTCTCTCATCTTGACTCAACCCATTTCTAATAATCTGTGTAGCACCACGAGGTCATGGCTTACCAGGAAAGATTCAGCATGTCTAACCTGGCAGCTTCATGGCAGGCAGCTCTCTGCCTTGGCCTGACTCTGCTTCTTTCTCCCAGCATTCTGTTCTGTCTACTCCACCCACCTATGTTCTGACCTATCAGGCCAAGCAGTTTCTTTATTAACCAATGAGAGTAACACATAAACAGATCAACATCAAGTTGCAGTACAGCCTGGGCTGTACAGTGAGTTCAAAGCCAGTCTGGGATACAAAGCACATTCTAGGTGGGCCTAGGCTAGTGAGCGAGATCTTTTCTCAAAAGTAAACCAAACAAACAACTAAACAAACAGTTTATATCCTGAACCGTGTCAAAGACAGGAAGTGTCAAGAATCAAGGTCTGGAGCAGTGGAAATATTGTCGCTGCAGTTACTCAAATCTGTGTTAGCTTACAAGAGAGGACATTTCTTGCCTGTCTCCTGCAGGAACTGTGAAATTCTTGCAACTCTTTCTTCCTAAATAGTCCTAGACTCTACCATCCATTATACCTCCCCAGGCCAAAGAGGAATGAAACATCCGGAAGAGGCTTAAACAAGGATACTAGAATCTAATGAGAAATAGGAGGTTGCTCCTCTAAGGCCAGTTTTCAGCCAAGACTCTTGATTGACAGAGTAATACGTTCTTCTTTGCCCTGGCCTCGGCCTCTCTGATCACATCTACCCATTTGAACCCTCTCTTAGCTCTCTTTTCATTCATTACCTAGAGAAAGTCCAGAATCCTTTCCCCTTTCCAATTTCAGGTTTATTTAATATTTTCTAAGCAGTTTTCCTAGGCCCTGAAAGCAGAGCCCCCAGTCCTGGCCCTATTGGAACTGGCAGGCAGAGAGTTAATCATAAGACAGATGAGTTTTTCTTGACTCACTTGTGAATTAAGCAACGAGATGCCAAAATGCCTCCACTAAGACGTGCAGCTATACTGATGCCCCTCCACCTTGAAAAGCGTAAACACATCCTAGCTTATGCATCATAAGAACTCATAGTGTGGTTAGTCGTAAAACATTAATTGTCCTCCAGTGTATGGTAAAAGAAGGGTAGTAGTACACATTCTGATGTTCTGAAAAGCTTCTGTATAAGTGCATTCCCTGTCAATGATAAGAAAAGGCAGACTCTGAGCATTTGGCTACAGCAGGTACTATTTATTCTAAGACTTTGCATGCATTGTCTCATTTGATCAGCATAGCATCTTTAGACAGGGGACTTGTTACTGTCTCCCCTGTGCATTGAAGAAACAGAATCTTTCACAAAGTTTCAGAATCTGTAGGATTAAAAACCCAGGAAATATAGCTTTACACCTCCATTCTTAATCATTATGCACAGTGGTCAGAGAACCAGTTATTTTCAGTCTCTTTCAAGTTCCAGGTTCCCCACGGGGGCCTTGAATCACAATACTTAGGGCAAGTTAAAGTCTATGCTAAGCCAGGGTACCAGAAATTAAACCTCACTGAAGCTGGTTCTCCAGTAAGAAGGAGAGCTACTACAAGTTTAGCATCTAGGGTAAGTATTACACAACCCTTGAAATAAGAGCATTCAGCAATTCCTCTGACACATTAACTTTCTGTGGATCTTCTGCAGGCCTCCAACAATCCAGAGAACAAGACCAGTCTGTCTGCATGCTCCAGCTTGCTATGGAAGGGCTTTGCCTTCTCTTTTCTCTTTTTAAAATGCTACACTATTAATTAATTAATTAATTAATTTGGTGGGAATGCCACAGTGCACTTGTGATGGTCAGAGAACAGTTTGCAAAACTTGACTCTCTCTTTCCATCATATGGCTCCCTAGGGATTGAGTTTGGGTTATCACAGTTGACAACAAGCTCCTTTATCCCCTGAGACATCCTTCCAGCAACCCACCAACTGTTCTAAGTGGGTGAAATTTGCACTGGAAAGAGACAGGTCTTCTTAAGATAAAGCTTTCACTAAGAAGGTTAATCAGCTTTGCTAGTGCCTCACCCCCGTCCCCAATCTGGCTAAGAGAGCACTCCCTGGGGTGGAAGGGAGGACCAGCAGTCATTTGTGACATCCCACAAACCTTTCATTGAATACAACCAATTTCTGTTAGCTCTTGGGGATACTTGGGAAATTTACCTGGAAGATTCTCCGATTTTTAAGTCCTGAAAATCAGATTTTAAATAACTAAATAAAAATCAGCTAGCTAGTCAGAGGAGCACATTGCCCAAGATCACAATGTCCACCTGGCTTGACCTTTCCACTCATTCCTTGCGCCACATTCTTCTCAAAGTATCCTGCCATCTCACTATCTCAAGGTAGGAATGTTTCTTCCCCCGGGGTAGGAATTCCAGTCTGTAAAAACATTCTCAGTTTCTGGCAGGTAATCGTGTTCATAAAACTCTGAATGACTTTTGTTTAGCTCTGTCATATGTCCCAGTGTGTAAAACTGTGTGTCGGGTGGTTAGCATTCTGACAAGACGGGCCCACCATCTTCAGGCAGCAATTTAAGTTTCAGTTCATTCTGGAGTTTTGGTTTTCATTTTTGGTTGTTTGTTTTAAACCATTCATTCTTAAATGACAGTTTTATATGAGAATGTTCTCCAAGCCATTGTAGAATACAGCCACCTTGTGCTTTCCTATATGATTTCTCTCCTCTTCCTCTATCTTCTAATATGAAAGGTTTCATCTAGGGTCTAGTGCACTGTAGGCAAGACTTTTCCTCCTAAACTTTTCCTTTTCAGTCAAAGTTTCCTTAAGTTACCCCAGCTGAGCCAGATCTGTACCCCAGGCTGGGCTTGTGCTTGGAGTCCTCCATCCTCAAGCTCCCAGGTAGGGCCTTGTGCACAGACACACCCGAGTCCCAGTAAAACTGATCAGTTACCTGGTTTGTCTATATTTCTAAGACCAAGATGTGCCAGAATGTGGAACTTAGTATTAAATGTTCATGTTGAGCTGCATGGTGGTGGTGCATGCCTTTAATCCCAGCACTAGGGAGACAGAGACAGGCAGAGAATAAAAAAGGTATGAATAATATTATATACAGATTCTGGTATGGAAAAAAATCATATAGTATTGAGGCACAAGCAGAAGGGAAAGAAAGGAAAGAGGAAGGGGGAGGAAGGGAGATAAAGAAGAACAGAAAAAAAAGGTAACATGATAGAAGATAATTATTTATATGTAATTCTCTAAAGAAACAAAGCTAGAATTAGGAATGATGCTGAATGTCCAGAACTGATAATAGCAGAGTAGCCACTAAAGATCCCAGGTCTCACCAGGTAAGAAGCACGCCTTTAATCTCAGCACTTGGAAGACATAGGCAGAGGATCTCTGTGAGTTTGAAGCCAGTCTTGTCTACGGAGTGAGTTCCAGGACAGCCAGGGTTACACAGAAAATGTTGTCTTCAATAATCAAAATAAATAAAATCCCAGGTTTCCGGGAAAAAAAAAAAAAAAAAACAGTTACTAGACCCCAGCGCAAGGGAAATTACTATAAGGACAGCCACCAAACAAGATCTGCAGGCTTCAGTAAAATGATCAGTCTACCTTAAGGAAGGGAACCTTGGATAATAAATATTCCAACTCAGTTTGTCCCTTTTTTTTGTTTCTTAGTCATGTTTACCAGCAGCTGAACCCAGCCACAAGCCAGAGGCCATCTACAAAAGCTCTCCAAAGTGGTTAGCCTCCTAGGGCTCAGAGCAAGAAGAAAAGAAAGGTAGCAAGAATGAACTTAGGTGTACACACGCACCACCACACACACATACACACACACACACACACACACACACACACACACACACACAAATACATCATTTTCTTTCCGCCTATGTGCTAGACAAGTACTCATTGTAACACTGAGCAGCATTCCAGCCCTTTAATTTTTTTCAGTGTTTTGATTTTGAGACAGGGTCCCACTTAGTTGCCCAGGTTAGCTCAAACTTCCTCTGTAGCACAGGCAAACCTTCAACTTTCTTTCTTTTTTTTAAAAGTTTTCATTGTAATTTTTGACGGTTTCTCACATACATGCAATGTGGGAATGTATTCATCCCCACCACGCTCTCGACCTTCTCTCACTCCTGTTAGCTCCTGTTTTCCTCCCTAGTCGTCTCCTCCTACTTTCAGATCTCACCTGTGAGTGTGCAAGTCTTGTGCAGGTGGCCACAGCTGCCATATCTTCACGTTTCCATCAGTCATGTCATATCCAGAAGACATCCAGTTTCACAGTGCTCCCTCTGTCCTCCAGCTCTCACAGCCTCTCTGTCCTCTTTTCAGTCACGTTCCTATGTCTTGGAGACAAAGATGTCCCATTGAAGGCCAAACACTCACAGTCACTTATTCTCAGCGGTTTGTCCAGTTACGAATTCTTGTATTAACCAAAACCACTCAGTCAAGACTGAGAGTAGCACTAATCTAAAGGCATAAACACATTTAGAATGCACGTTGGCTATGTGTCCATTCAGCATAGCATCATATTAAAGTCCCCTTCGAGGCCTTGTGAGCTCTGCAGCCATAAGATTTCCTCAAGTTTACAGAAAAATGGTGATTCATTCCCATGGAGAAAATAATCAAGCCCAAATTCGCTAGTAGGAACATCCTATCTGGCAGGCAGGTAAGTATTGCCGTCTGCAGCATTCATAACTAAGACTAATGATGCCTTTTTGTCCCTGCAGCTGTCTGTGTGCCATGCTGGTACCATGAATGCTGATGAGTGGGGAGGAAGCTTCCAGCTCAGTTCCAGCTTGATTTTCATGTGTTCTGTGTCCCAGCTATGTAGGACAGGGTCCTATGGTCTAACTCTAGCGGGTCTGGTGAAGAGTAACGACAGTAGATCCCACTGTTTTGGCTTCTCTAGGAGATCCCTATCCAATATCTCAAAGGGAGATATCCCACACCTGGCACTGGGACTTTTTGGCTTTTCTTTTTCCAGACAGGATTTCTCCGTGTAGCCCTGGCTATTCTGGAACTCTCTCTGTAGACTGGACTGGTCTCGAACTCACAGAGATCGGCCTGCCTCTGCCTCCCAAGTGCTGGGATTAAGAGAATGCACCACCACTTCCTCCCACCTGTCACTGGAACTTCTGATTAAGACCTATGGATTCTGGGGGCAGCATTGTTTACTAATGCAGGGTAACTTTATTTACATGTTAGAATAATAATTACATCTTTTATATATCTTACAAAATAGGTTTCTGTGATGGAATTTATCTTTCTGGACTGTGTTTAACTCACTCTGCATATTTTCTCTTCTGAAATGGCAAAATTTTCTTTTTCTTCACTTCTGAGAATTCTATTGGGTATGCATACCACATCTTCACCATGTAGTCATTACTCAGTGAACATCCAGGATGATTCCATTCCTCAGCTATTAGGCATAGAGCTGCACTGTGCTGGTTTCTTTGTAGTAGGATATGGAGTCTTTTGGGTGTGCACCTAAAAATAATATAGCTGGGTCATGTGGTAATTCTATTTTTAGTTTCTTGAGAAACTTCCACACTGGCTTCCACTGTGGCTACACAAGTCTGCAGCCACACCAACAGTGGAAAAGGGGTTTCCTTTTTTCCATGTCCTCCCCAGCTTTTGTTGTTTTCTTTATGACAGTCATTCTTACTTACATCTCAACAGAGTCCTAACTTGCATTTCCCACAGCTAAGGCTGTTGAGCTCTTTTAAAGGTGGTTACTAGCCATTTGTATTCCTCTGTACACTTCTGTAGCTCATTTTTAAAAACTGGGTTATTTATTTCCTTGGGATTTTTTTTCGACTCCTTTGTATAGTCTTGATATTAATACTCTGTCAGATATATAGGCAGTAAGAATTTCTTTCCTCATTCTGTAGACTGTCCCTTCACTCAGTTGATAGTTTCCTTTGTCATGCAGAAAGTTTTAATCTGATGACGTCCCATCTGTCAATTGTTAGTCTTATATCTGAGGCAACTGAAATCCCATTTAGAAGGTCCTGACCTTTGCCAACATCTCATAAAGTGTGTTTTATTTTTTACCCTGGCAGTGTCAGATTTTCCATTTAGGCCTTTGTTCCATTTATGGTTGAGTTTTGTGCAGGATGAGAGATAAGGTTCTAGCGTCATCCTTCTACATGTATATGTCCAGTTTTCCCCTACCAATTGTTGAAACTTGTACCTGTAGGGTAACTCGAAGACAAGCATAGTAAATTAACAACATCCCTACCTCCCTACCCCCACCCCTGTAGCACATTAAGGGTTTCTTTAGCTATCTGGAAATTTTTGTGCTTCTATATGAATTTTAAAGTTGTTTTGCCTGTTTGCTTTTGTTTTAGTCTATTTCTGTGAAGAATGGAACTGGATTTTTGATTGGGATTGTACTGAATCTGCTTTTGGTAGGATAGACCTTGAAGTTTGATCGTCCTGTCCCAACTTCTAAAGTATCAAAGATTACAGACTTGAACCATCAAGCCCAGCTACATTGTTTTCTCCTCTCTTTCTTTTTTCCTTTCTTCTTTCCTTTCTTCCTTCCTTCCTTCCTTCCTTCCTTCCTTCCTTCCTTCCTTCCTTTCTTCATTCTTTGGATGTGGGATTCCCCTCTGTATGCTGCGGATACCATTGGTAAATAAAGAAACTGTCTTGAGCCCATGATAGAGCAGAATAGAGCTAGGAAGGGGAAACTTAAACTGAACGCTGGGAGAAGGGAGGCAGAGTTAGAGAGAAGCCATGTAGCCCCACTGGAGCTGGATGGAACTTTACCTGGTAAACCACAGTCACGTGACGATACACAGATTATGAAAAACAGGTTAAATTAAGATGTAAGAGTTAGCCAATAAGAACTTAGAGCTAATGGGCCAAGAAGTGATTTAATTAGTACAGTTTCTGCGTAGTTATTTCAGGTATGAGCAGCCGGGAACAAACAAACGGCCTCCAACTACATTCTTCTCTCCCTCTCTCCTTCCATTTTTCTTTCCATCTTTCCCCTTCTTCCTTTTCCAGTTCTCCTTTTTGAGATAGGGCCTCATACAGCCCACGTTGTCATCAAATTCACTATGTAGCTTGGTGTGACCATGGTTTTCTGGTTCCACTTCTCATGCACTCAGTTTTATAAGCATGAACCACTATCATATGTATGTGGCTTGTCTTCTTGTCAACTTCAAATCAGCCTCATGTTGGAAAGCCATCCCATCAGGACGATAAGAATCTCAGTGATTTACATGGCTCTACTGGTCCTTCCCATCCATATTCAGCCTGTGATTTCACAGAGAACACAGCCATTGGTCTGTAACCTGTGCTCACATGCATGCACATTGTCCACTCTACATTAGTGCCCAAGCTTGGTAGTTCTATGGCCCTGCACTACAGTGATCAAACATCCCCACCCCTGCCCCAGACAGTATGCAATCCAAATCAACCATCATAAAAAAATCCATTCAACTCACTATGGCGATGTTTTGCTTGTGGTCTAACAAATAAAGCTTACCTGAATAACAGAGTGTGGAGCTAAACCACTAGTTAGCCATAGAGACTAGGCAGTAGTGGCACACAGCTTTAATCCCAGCAGGTGAGAGATAGAAGCAGAGGGATCTCTGTGAGTTCAAGATCACCCTGGGCTATAAAAGATTGATTCAGTCTAAAAGAGAAACAGAGCTAGGTGGTGGTGGCTCACACAATTTAATCCCAACACTAGGGAGGTGGAGACAGGAAGAAATATGGCAGAGAGAGGAATAGAAGGTGGGAGGAGACAGGAACTCAAACATTCAGTCTGAGGATTCCTAGAGACAGAATCTCCAATTCAGTCTGAAGATTCAGTAGAGGTAAGAACTAGTGGCTGGCTGCTCTGCTTCTCTGATCTTTCAGCATTTACCCTATATCTGAATTGGAGTTTTATTATTAAGACCACTTAGAATTCGTGTGACACCTCACAGTCATTCTAGGAGGCACAAAAGGAGTGGGCCATAGTCCTAGTACCCATAGTAACCAATTGTTCACTTCCTAGCCTCAAGAAACTCCTCATGCTGGATCCTGTTTTCATGGCTCGTCTCGAAGACACCAGCCTTTCTCTCTTCCACTCTGAACAGCCAAGCGTAGTTTCATGAGAGGGTTTGGAGTTTCACAAAGTCAGTCTTCTTGAAACAGAGTCTGTTTTTAGCCTGTCAGCTACTAACTGCCAAATCTCAGCTTTTCTTTTGGAATAAGAAAAAAATAACATTTCAGAAACAGACCCAGTTAGAATGCTCTTGGACTTTTTTTCTATTGCAACATAAATAAAAGGCAATTTAATTTACATAAATTAAATTTGAAAATGTAGATGGACTTGGTTCTGCTTAGCAGAAGCCAGAGTTGAGGCTGATCCCAGCATATAATAGAGAAAAAAGAAAGACAACATATAAAAGAAAAGCTGAGTTGGGCATGGTGATACATACTTTTAACACAAGTACTCTGAAGGCAGAGGCAGGCTGATGTCTGTGAGTTCTGGCCAGCCTGTCCTACATATGGAGTTCCAAGCCAGTCAAGTGTATATAGAGAGACCCTGTCTCAAGAAGAAAAACAGAAGGATAGCAAAGGCCTAATGCCCTTGTCATTCATCTTACTTTGAATATATCCTCTCTCCTCCTCTTATTTGCCATGTAGATGACCCTGGGAGGCTGAGAAAATGGATGAAGGTAGCCACCATTGAAAACTATTTACAAATATCTGTAATTTCTATCTTCTGTCACTTCAAAAAAGTGCTCCCCTGAATGATCACTGAATCACTGGACTTTCTGGACCTGGTGGAACCATGCCATCTACACAGGGAAAATAAAACAACAACAAAGATCCCAGCTTTAACCAGCCTAAATTTCCTAACCTATGACAAAGTCATGCAAACAATTCACATTTGGGCTTTGAAGATCTGATGGAAGAGTTTGAAATAATAAACATAAGTCTCCCTTGTAGTATCGTGGAAGACACCAGAGAAATAATAGCGCCTCCTACTAATATGGAAGTCATAATGCAATAAATCACAGAAAAGGCAGTCCTGAAAATCTGATAGATCTAGACTGAACTAAACTGGGCACGGTGACTCATATCGGGAAGACTGGAGCAGAAGGATCACAGCGAGTTTGAGGTCAGTCTTGGTCATGCACTGAGTTTGAGGCCAGTCTGTGTCCACAGAGTAAAACCGTGTCTCTTAAAACAAAACAAAACCTGGGCTTGCATACAAAAACAACATGGACAGGATCAGTTGAAGTGGTAAATCTCTAAGAGGTATGTAAATCTGTTTTTTGCTGCTTTTCATTGGGGAAGGTTGGGGATGAGTTAAGACAAAGGACCTCAGTGATCCCACCCAGCCTTTTCTTTTTTTTTATTTTTTTCTTTATTTTTTTATTAAAATTCATTTATTTATAAAAAATTTTCACTTCCTCCCCTCCTCCCAATACCCTTCCATTCCCCCCACTCCCTCTCCTCCTCCCTCTCCAGTCCCAAGAGCAGTCAGGGCTTCCTGCCCCATGGGAAGTCCAAGTTCCCCCCCCCTCCAGGTTCAGGAAGGTGAGCATTCAAACAGACCAGGATCCCAGAGAGCCAGCACATGCAGACGAAACAAGACCTAGCGCCATTGTCAATGGCCTCACCCCCAGCATTTTTTTGACAATATTCTATCTCACA